ACACACACACACACACACACACACACACACTGCCTCAGCCTTGAGTAGGACCTGTACATTTTTAAAGTTGTACATTCAACAACAGTTTTGAAGTAAACTAAAAGTCTATAGGTAACATCCATCCATCCATCCTGCTTACCCTTTGAGGGTCGCAGGGGCTGGGCTTGGGTGAAAGATCAGCATATTGTGCTGACCTGCAAACAACTGTTCTCAATCTTATTCACACATACACATTCTCCATTTAACCTAAAGCTTAGTTCACACTTCAGATTTTAACTTTCTGAGAAAAGCCCCATTCAGTGTTCGAGCTGCAGTCAGCAATGTCTATGTGTGTGATCTTCAAACCGACACGTCGCAGACTCCAGAAAGATTTCTAGCAGACTTAATATCTAGACCAGCCTGCGATAACTGCAGCCAATCAGAGTGCATGGTGGGGTTGGGATGGTGAAGGTGCGTGTTGTGGCGAGGAACCCCCTGATTTAGTCTGCACATGACTGTGATCTGGGAAAACAAGCAGTTACCATACATGTGAGGGACAGGGTAACACACAATCTGTCCAGCTGACATTAACTACTTTGGGCTCAGGCAGGTTCGGACAGAAAAATGTGGCCATTATTTACAACTATGATGTCCACTGAAGCGTTTGAGCTCTCCTCCAGCCTGATGTGTCAGTCTGTGAGCAGGAGGATCATTTAGACTCTTCTGTGTGTGTTCACAGGATGATACGTAGTTTGGAGACCAGACGTACTCGTCGTGGTGAAAGTTCAAGTAGTGTGTGACCCCCTGATGCGAGGCAGTTTTGAACATCTAAAGACAGCAAGTCATGTAGTGTGAACTTTTCTCAACCTGCGTGTGTTTGGGCTGTGGGTGGAGGAATCTGATGTAGACAAAACCCACACAGACACAATGAGAACATAAAATCCTCAAGGCCTTAAAGTCTGAGATTGCTTTTTATTTTTCCTCCCTTAATTTGCCAATACATTAACAGTCCCCTGCCCACTCGACATGCAAAACAGCTACAGCATCACTTACAGCTCAACTCCTTCTAAAAGGCGATTACTCTGCTGCAGAGAAACATTAAAGAATTAAAGAATATCATCTTTAGCCAACAGGTCTGTGTCTCCTCTTTGGTATGTCTCTGTAAAATGTCCGTGCAGGAGTAATGGAACACCCTGCATAATTTAAAGGCCACAATTTATTACACTTAATGTCAGGAGGGCAATTAAAACAAGAGTGCAGTGGACTGTGATAACGTAATGTGCGTATATGTGTGTGCCATTTGTGCCCCGTCTTGGCACGAGTGTGTGCATCCTTGTGTGTGTGTGTGTGTCGCTGCTTTCTTCTCCTCTTAAACAGACCTGGCAGTGTGCCAGAAGTCTCCTATTAGCAGCCAATTAGCAGGGGAGAGACAAATGCACGGCGGTTAGAATATAAAGAACACTGGGTTGTTTGGGTAATAAAGAGGCAGAGAGGGAGAGACAGTTGTTTTGTTCGCATGCAGCCTAATGAATATCTCATTCTTCTTTACCTGTATGTTTCAAGGTCTTGGGAACTCTTCGCATTACCAAACTCGAAAAACAAGACACAGAGTTGATGAGAGGAGATGTTGATTTTTGTTCGCATGTAGCTCAGTTACTCTTAAAACGTCTTTCATAAGAATCTGGCTCTGCATGAGTCAGGTCAGGTAGATAATTCGGCTCCCACCTCCACATGCAGGCGTAGGCAGTGACAGAAGAGGCTGCGACAACTCGAACGTTTTGTTTGAGTTTGTGACGAGGCAGGCCGGGTGGGCAGAGAGGAGCAAAGGTTGAGATTGTTTTTGTTTTGTATTTTATCAGCTTCAGCTCCATCTTTCAGGCTGAATAGTCATGAATCTGGTTTGCCTTATTGTAGCCCGGCAGTAGCTTTTAGACCCTTTGTGTGTGTTAATGGGTGTTTCAAAGGCTTGATCCACATTAAGGGGCCGGCAGATTAGGCCAGGATGGAAAAAAACACCTCTCCCCTGAACTTAATGGGACTCTCCTCTCAATTCCCACCAGACCTTTGTGCCACTTTGAACTACAGTCGATGGACTGTGTGTCATTTTTGAATTACTTATAATTTTTTGTGTGGATCCAAATAAACAGGATTTTATTTCCCTTTCTCTGCAGTGTTTCACAGAATGTATTCATTCTGAGGCAGTCACAAGGTGCACATGCACTGGAATAAACATCGCTCTCACAGGCTAAAGGATCGACTGTTACAAATCAAACATTGTGAATGTTGAGGGTCAAAGTTCACCAAAGTTGAACTCCACCTTGGTGAAGAATGAATAAATAAATTGGTGGTGATATTTGCGTGCATTGCATGACACTGTTGTGCCCAACTGCTGCTGAATGAACGCGGACTGTAACAACTTTATGGCCGCTGATCGCGCTGCACAAAGCTTTACTACTGTAGCTACTGTAGAAGAACAAATTAGAATATGGCGTGCCGCCACAGTGGAGATGATTCAAGGGACATGGCAAGATAGGCAAGATAAGGTGTTATCTGTAGCTGTATACTGCCCCACAAAGGCATCACAGTGTTTGTCTAAATTTGAATTCATAGTAGACAGAAATAAGTAAAATAACTTAATAAAACCAGAACACAGTCCAGCCACGACAAAATGAAGAATTTTATATCAGTCAATTTGGCAGCCAGCTTGAAACCTGAAACCTCTTTTCTTCCGTCCTGCTCTGTCTTTGCAGCGCTGTGTAGTTTGGCACATCGTGAACAGGTTTGCAGACAAATCACGTCTCTTTGTTGACTCTCAGTGACGGAAATCTCTCACACAGCTAATGAACCATTCCGCCGCTGCCTCACAACTTTCCTGAAAACATCCAGAACAATAATCGTCATCGTCATCTTGTCTCTTCCCTGTGCGCTCCCTTGCTGTTTAGCTCTTAATGTATCTGCCTCTCCTTGTCACGAGCACTGACAGACACACACATGCACATCAAGGAGCTGTATTTTGGAGCTGTGTTTTAATTTAGCTGGGCTGACATTTGGAATTATTGCATAAGTGTATTGATTCGAGGCAGCGGCCTTCATGTAGGAATTCCTCCTGTTAAAAAAAGAGTGGTGCCTGACTCACAGGCTGTTTTCATTTCTGCGTCTCTGTAATTTTTATGGACATACGTGTAGAAGATGGCAGATATAACACGTATGGTCCATGCAGCTGTGATAAAACCTGGATCAACATTTTATTGGTGTCTTTGGTATGAGATACTGACTGAAATTATGTTGTTGCTGCAAATAGAAATTTAATATATAAGGTTTTGAATGTTGCCGTTATTTCATTCCAGGCCTAGCTGTGGCTCTGCAGCTTCTCCACGGCGACATCGAGCAGCTGAGACGGGAGTACATGGTCCTCTTCACCCGCGGCGTGTCCATCACCAGGAAACTGGGCTTCTCTGACGTCATCATGCCAGGTAGAACCCCACAAACACACCAGTGCTCATAATGTCATCAACCGGATGGAACTGGTTTTGACTCTTAGCTGAACAAATACAACTCCTCTGAAAACACTTGCTCGGTGAGATACCGAGCAAGTGTTTGAAAGAAAGCATGGCACGTCCTCCGCAACCTTGAGCCAGATGTTCAATTTTCCTCCTTCTGAAATCATCTCTATTTATACTTCATCTAGTGCTCTATAATAAATAAATAAAAAATAGATAAGTAATGATATTAATAAATACATTTTGTGTTATTATACACTTCTTAAAGGCTTTTGATTCAACACATCTATGAGTGAAGTCTCAGATAATGAAATATCTGATATAAAAGAAGATGTTTGTGCACCAGAGTCTCATTGTGTCTCAAAGCTTTGGGATTATTTTTCAGTTTTTGTTGCGGCTTCACTTAATATTGTGGTGTCATGAAAATATTCTGATGGTGGATCAACAACACAGCCCTGCACAGTATAACAGACTTCTTTTGAGACTTCCTGGAATTGTTTGTACATTTTAAAACCGTTTCTTCCTGGAAAAATAAAGTGTGGTTCTCTCTGGAGGGGTGATATTTTAGTTTACTCATCAAAACGACAATTTCCAACCAATAAAATGATCATACATTTTTTGAACACTCTTTTTTGCCTGCTCAGATAAATGTTGTCTCTTTGATAACCTACTTTATTTCTCTTGTTTTCTAAGTAAAGTGAATTCATTTATATCTATTTCTATATAATGTGTTTCTCCGATTTCAGCTGACACCCTTGAGGCTAAGAAATTAATGATGTGTTTTCCAGTGTTTATATTGTCGACATTTATCCGCCTCATCATCATCACGTCTGCTGTAGTTGCCTTGGTAACGCTTCCTGCGTGAGTGATCCCCACCTAAGGGCGCCCTCAGATAGATGAAATATTCCCATTGATTCAGGTAGATAGGCATCACTCACACAGCCGCTGCTCAAAAAAGGACACAGACCCCTGCAGGACCCCCCCGGGCTTATCTGGATGGGGCCTTGTTGCCTTGGTGACAAATGTACAGCCACTTGAATGTCAGATGACGTAATATGTAAGATATTTACATATGCAGGAGGGAACATTTGAAAGGGAGAGCAGCAGAAGGAGCTGTACGACTCTTTGTCTGTTCATTCATTTATGAGCGCTGGACGTCAGGGGACTGATTTTTATTATTTTTTGTCCTCAGTAGAGCAGTTCCTTTAAATAAGTGAGGTGTGCTGTCTGGTCACACAGATAAAGAGGAAGCATGGACTGTGGGTCCCCCAGCGCCTCACTAACACAGATTTATGTTCACTGTCTTTGTCTTTGTCTGACTACAAACCCTTAACACTGAGCGCTCTCACCCATTTTTCTGCAAGTGTAACTCTGCCCTTGGGCTCACGTCTCCCCTTCTCTTTCCCCCCTCTCTCTCTTTTCTGGATTCGTATCTCTTTGTGTCTTTCTCCGATTTTTTCTCGTCAAGCTGCTCTGCCCCCTACCTTCCCCACTTCCTGTTTTCCCATTGTACGTAAGAATACTGCTCCCTTGTGTGTCCACCTTCCTGAAGTCCTTGTGTGTGCGCTGCCAGCACACAGTATGGGTGTGTATAGAATGCCTTGTGTTGCCATGGTTACTGTTGTTAAGAGCAAGAAAATCAATGCTGACCATCGAGATGGAGATATGATGAGCGCAGACACGTACTCAGAGGTTACGCAGGGAGCTTATTTTTTTGGTGTCAGACCACAGAGGAAACAGGCCTCTCCTTTTCTTACCCAGATCACTTAGCACCACTTTGACTTCCTCTTCAGAAGGAAATAAATGTGTTGCCTAACCCAGACATTGTGCATTCAGCTGCAATAAAAACAAAAAACACGAATATTACTTCCGAGAATTATTCCTTAACCAACCTTGACCAAAGACTGTGTTGCATCAGAGTTCATAGGTCATACTTTTGTTTTTATGAGTTCCACACTCTTGGTCATGTTGTCTTTTTAAACATTATATGCTCTATATGGGCCAGATAATCTACTCGAATCATATTTTATTTATATAGCTCATATTCAGAAATAAAAATTTAACAATCTGGACAAGGTGCTGTCCCGACCTACTTGTTGCACATCTGCATGTGGGAAAATGGGGGTTAGTTATTTAAAAGAATAAACTTTCAAAACAAGTCATTCAGATTTTCTCACTCAGTAAAACTCCATCTGATGCAGTTTGCAGGGAATTTCCCACATATTGAGACACATGTATCGGTGTGACTGTTGTCATTCAAAATTTATTTTTGTTTCACATCATTCCAAAGCCATCAGACACAAGACTGACGTAGGCATTCGCCCACGGATCTGCTTATGGCATATTCTGAATCTTGCAGATGGTCAAAGGTCATGAACTCAAGCTTAGATTTCATGTCAGCAAAATATTTATGTGTAAATGGCCACAATGTAAATGCTCTCCATCGCTGTCATGAGCTTTTACACCAGAAGTTGTCATCAAGCTGCAGCGAGATCATTAATAATTCTTGCTCATATGCATAATCAATGGCTTTTTTCTTTCTTTTTTTTTTTTTACCTCCTGTTCCTACAGGAGAGATGAGGAATGACCTTTACATCGCACTGGAGAAAGGAGAGTTTGAGAAGGGAGGGAAGAGTGTTGCCAGGAACGTAGAGATCACGGTGTACGTGCTGGATATTGATGGACAGATTCTCAAGGTAAAAACACTTTTTTACAACTACCCTCACTGTCATCAGGAAAATATTTAGGATCTGAAGCCTAAACAATATATTGAAGAACAGTAAAAACCTTGGTTAAGTTCTTAGTCAACTCACCTTTTTGTAATCAGTCATTTAAATTTCACTGACCCTGATGAGAAACTGAAAAGTGACAGTCTGCCTCTGTGGTTTTCTGCGCTGCCTGGGCCTTGGAAAGAAAATAGACTCAAATATAACCCTGCTGCCACCGCCTCTGCCACTGCAGGGCACACAACCCTCACACGCAAACCGAGTCATCCCCCCTCAATTGGCATTTGTGGCATGTGTGTAAGGTTTCAATACATGTCTCACATATTAATTAATCGCGCCATCGCTCTTTACCACATCCTCTCATGGCCTCTCATTTCCTCTCTTCGCTTCCTGTTCTTTCTCTGCATCAGTTGCCTCCTCCTGCTCTGCTCACTGTCTCCTTCTCTCTCTTTTCTTTCAGAGTCACGTGGCTGCCGGCTCGGGGGAACCAGGTGGGGACGAGTACCACTCCCTGGTGCTGTACCACAACAACAGTCCGCGCTGGGCGGAGCAGATCAAGCTCCCCATCCCGGTCGACATGTTTCGGGGGTCGCACGTCCGCTTCGAGTTCCGACACTGCTCCAGTAAGTCGAGCTGGGACTGCGGTCACTCGATCATTACAGACAGTTTCATACATCCTCTGCCCTGGGTGCTGACGCCTGAGGGGCAGCAGTAAAGAGGTGTTGCCACGGAGAACAAGCACAGTGAACATTTCACTTTCCTTTCAGCTTCAACCTGCGAACCATGCATCCTCAAGCCCCAAGGCTGCTGCCGCCTCAAAAATAGACAATTTCCCCATAATGCGCTTGTTTTAGTATTTTCATAATGAGACTGTTTGTCCGACTCCTCACCTCCTAATGAGACAAAGCTTTAATTATGACCGAAATATGGTTCATCCGCCTCCCCCGCCCTCTTTCTGGGCCACAGGGAGAGAAGGCCAAATCTTCTCTCTCATAACAAGCTGATATTATTAGGCCAAACTGAGAGTGTGCAGTAGATATAGTAGCCTTATTAGCGCTGGCTGTGCTAGCTTTGCCACTCAAAGGTCGCCCATTAGGAGCCCAGTTTACGCCTGTGGGGACACCAAACTGACGAGACCATATCATTTTTTCGCAAACTCTGGGACAACTTTCCAGCTCCCGTATGCAGACAAAGAGAGAGAAAAAAAGCTCATTTTTGTTAATATGCTTAAATGCTCTTGTGTTGTAGGCTTCATGCAGCAGCTGTATTTGTTAATTTGTTTGTAGGGAGTTGAGAGTTGTTCCTAAATGACGCTAAAGTGGAGTTTCAGGACCTGACAGCCTCCGTAGTGCAGTACTTTGTTTTGTTACAGCTGACTCTTTGTTGCCTTGCTCAAACAATTGAAGTAATTTGTCGTCGTAGGCGTACTTTACCTTTACTGCTGTCAGAAGAGCCTTTTTTCATTTTCTCTCTTTTTCATAGACAGCATAAAATACGAGGTCTTTGCACGTTTAGAAATTTAAAACCCTGAATTCCTAACAAGCCCCCAAACTATAGCATTGTGCTATGTAACAGCGCAGTGTATTTCCTGCACAAACATACATCAATCTATCCTCTACCTGTTCTGCCAAGCTCAGCTAAGCCTGCATTTCACACAGCACCACTTAATCTTCCCTAATCTCGTTGTGCCCAAGTCTGTGAAGGCTTATAGATTAGAAAAACCTGTCTGAGGGGAACCACACACAACGAAAAGCAAAAAAAACCATACTGTTTTGTAAGCAATAACTTCCCTGGTGTGAAAACTTAATCACAGCAAAGCAAGACAGAAATAACATGGCAGCGGTGAAGTAACTCATTCTTCTCCTGGGGGGAGACAACACAGACACAGACACACAACACAACACTGGTAGACGCTGGATGAATGAATCAGTCGCATTGAATTGAAAGTGAATAGAAACCTTTGCTTCCTGCTGTGCGCGCATTAGCACATTATTGTCAAAGCAGCAGATAAATCAGATTACATGTAATCATGCAAATGATGCCCAGAGCTTTGAAAGCTTCTTAAAAACACAGAGGCAGCGTTAATCAGACGCTGTTTTTCCCTCCGGTCGAGGTTGTTTAGACGTTTACTTGAGGGTGGGGGGGGGTGGGGGGTTCACTGCTGGCTTACAAGCAATGCTGTGGTTATAGATGCAATAGACGTCAGACTGCCCACAACAGTGTTTCCATGCTATGGTCTGAACTTAATCGTTTCCTGTAGAGTTTCATTGCGAACACACTTTTTTTACATTCAGAGTGTCTCTCATCAAAATGCATTGTGGGTGTCATTGGGGCCTCATCGGGGTTGTTGTGAATATTTTGAAACTTGTATTTGTTTATATTCATGTTTACAAGGACAAGCAGCCCCCCCCCAGGCTATGCTGGTTGATTGTGTTGAAATCAATAGCAACTAGAATGACAATCAGTAGAGCGCCAAGGCCGCACAGTCCCCTTGAATTCAGTCATGCCTCACACACTCAAAGACATCATCGTGCATTCACGTGTCATCGGAATAATTGGAAAAACAAGTTCAATGTTGTCAAATGTTTATTATTTGTCACTCAATGGTAATCTCTCACAAGAACCTTCTTAGCCAATACAGATGTTTTTATGATTAACATGCTAATGTTTTCAATTATTTAATTGCCTGTCACACCTGATTATTTTTCTTTGCTCTTTCTTTAAATGCTCTGATCACATAAATACAGCTCCTTTTGTTTACCATGCTTAGTTTTTGTCACATTCAAAGCACATGAACACACCGAAGCCGGAACAACAACTTCGCAGGAGAAAGTGAAAAAAAAAAATAGCTTGATTTGCGCCGTTGTCCAGATCAATGTCAAAGTTTAACGGGTTCTTTTCTGGCCCAACCTTCCACCAAGTTTCATGGAAGCTAGTTTTTTGCATAATCCTGCTGACGGTCAGGTGTGAAGACTTTGGCGGAGGTAATAATGTTTCTCCGCTCCGTAGCACAACTTGTGCTCAAAGAACTCAGCGTGCCTTTAACTTCCAGACAGAATAGTTCTACAATAGTTTTCTGCCGGATACAGTTCAGAGTTTTTTAACATATTAATTATCGACTGCATTATGAGGACGAGCTGCACCGGTGTCACAATATCATCTTTTGATTTGTCTTTGCTTGCTGGCAGCCTGAGCTTGTGTGTTTTGGATTCAATGTCATGTCCATGTGTTGTTGTTTGGCAGCTAAAGACAAGGGGGAGAAGAAACTGTTTGGCTACTCCTTTGTTCCTCTGATGCAGGAGGATGGCAGGACTCTGCCAGATGGCACCCATGAGCTCATTATCCACAAGGTAAGACCCACACTCCCTCACGACCAAGACTCGGAAATCCTTTGACATTATTCATCTAGTTATGTCCTAGTCATATCTGTGTAAATATTCATCTAAGACTGACTCAGGAGAACGAGTCAATCAGGATAGTTTTAATGTTTGATGCATTTTCACGAGTGATGATTTTATTGTAACAACAAGCTTTTTGTCATATATCATTGTGCTTTTCTATCCATTTATTGCTCCACATGTTTTCTCCATCCTGGGGGTGAGATCCCTCACTTGTGACTCTTCCCAGTTTTTCAGTTTTTTTTTTTTTTCCATGTTTGTTCCTCACTCTAGTCCAGGGTTATGGATGTTGCAATTTGTTGAGCCCTTTAAGACAAATAGCGATTTGTGAATATGGACTACACTTAAAATTGTATTCAATTTCAGGATTGAATCCCTTGTTTTTGAGATTTGACATGATATGAACAGACATAACAGTAGATTTCTCCAATCATAGGGAACAAATATCCATGATCACCCGTCATTTGCGTCTTGTAGATTCTCATAATTGAACCCACTCACAGTTTTGTGTCACACAGGTGTCGTCAAGGCTACTTCACTGTATATGATCACACAAATCATTTGCTCTAAATAGCAAAACACTGTCACTCTGCGAGCCGTTCGGTGCTGCAGCCTGACAAACAGCTCCCATCCCTCCATTACAGCCTGACAGCCCAGTGAAGTCCACTTAAACAACATCGGCAAGCTGTGAGGTTTCAATTTTAACCACAAGTGAGGGTTAATGCATGTCTTTTTGCTAATGTAAGCAACACTTTGCACTTGACTGGATGTTTGCAAAGCTGATGCATCCGTCTCTATCTCAGCATTTAGCTTTGACCTTTATGTCCAGTTTCTGCGTTTTACAGACCTTCGGAGACTCACAGTCATCTTTTCACACATTTCGGCTTCGACACATCAAACGACTAAAGCAAATAAAATGGCCGTCTTCCTGAGTTGAAAACCTCTGCGAAATCGTCTTGGGTGTAATTGACAATAATTGCAGACTACATGCTTTTCCTCAGCTGCAGGCAAGAGGGGTGTGTGCACAAACAAGGCTTTTGCGGAGAGTGGAAAAGCATGAAGCACATTCGTACTTTTTATTGCTGTGGCAGAGCAGTGACCAAAAAGTCTGATTATTTATTCCGCTGTTAACTCCGGTTTATTTTAGATGTCTTAAAAAACAAAGACTCGTCTTTTTATAGTCCTCGATTTTTTTTCTTTCTCAGATTTTCTGTTACATAACTTCATAACCTGAGTTATGTCGGCCAATTCAGGAGGACAACTCTGGGTACCTGGTGTGTTCCCACTGTCAGGGTGGAGGATGGGGGAGTCAAGGCCCATTGTAATGCCAGATGGAAGTTGTTGAAAAGCTCAATGAAACCGGCATGGCCTAGTTTCTCCTCAGACCCAAAATAGACAGGCGAATCAGTCCAAACTGTGTGGAAGCTTTGGAGCTCAAACAACCTCAGCTGTGCATCAGGGCTCCGCATTAAAACCCTGAAAATAACTAAACCTCATCATTATGTGCAGTTCCAGAAGCTTCATCATGTCGTTGATGGTCTGTGGTTGGTAGATTCACATGTTTCAGTCATGAGTGATATAAAGCTGACAACCCTCAAATGATTGCCCATAGTTGATCCGGTCTCCTGTTGACTAAACAGTGTTTTCATTTTGGTAGCATGGCGTCCTTCTTCTCATTTAAATTGTGTGCTTTTGTCTCTCTTCTTTCTCTTCAGTGTGAGGAGAACACCAGCCTGGCCGACTGCTCGCGCTACCTGAAGCTGCCATTCTCTAAGGCCAACCTCCCGTCCAACAACCAGACACTGAAGGGCACCAAGGAGTCTTTCTGGATCACCAGCTTCCTCTGCTCCACCAAGCTCACACAGAATGGTAAACTAGACTCGGGGATTGAGTTGTCTTTTGGCTACTTGCCTAGTGAGGTGTGAGTTAGCTTGTATATGGCTGCACAATCTAGCCCTGTGCATATGTATAATTCAGAAAGCACAGGGCTGAAGCACTGCTGCCAAAGATGGTGCTCAACAAGAAAAACATAATGCCTGTCGGGTTCGGGTCTGGCTCAGTAATTTTTTTGAGTTTGGACAGAAAATTGCGATCCCAGCCAATGTGTGACGCTAGTTATCGGATCACTCAGGATGAATGTTAATACCTGGTCGCGAGAGAAAGTGAGAAAATATGTGTATGTGAATAAACGTGTGCACATGCAGGAGAGCAGACGAAGCATCCAGGCTGCAGAGTCAGATTCGTAGTCTTATCTATGACGAACACATAATTATCCAACTATGAGCATGAATTGAAATATAGTGAAAATCAAAGGAGACATTGGTTTTTCTTCACTCAGTCACTTGTGCATTTCAAACTTCACCATATTACCAGTCAAGTGCATCTTCAGAATATAAAACACTGTGAATAATTTTTTCATCTCATAAAGTACCTGGTAGAATAAATAAACAGAAAAGCTACGGGCGGTATTGACTTGCAGCGGGCTGGTAATTTCCTTAATATACTGGATTTTGTTGGAGAATTGATTTCAAGTATTTGCTGAAGAGAATATATTTGACAGATTGGAACAAACAAAGCGGCCACACACACACAGATACACAAACAGATGCACACATGGACACAAATTCCCACATAAAGTTGCAGACAGACACGCTTCAGGTTGAACAGAATCTGAAGAGACAGCTGAAAGACTTTCTTCTCCAGGCTTATGTTTTATTCATGCCTACGTTCGGGGACTGTGTCTCAGGAAAATGACTTTTTATCTCCTTTTTCCCTGCTGCACATGAAAATATAATTAATCTGGAGTTTTGGGCTATAATTGAAGGTTGTGGCGAGATGTGTATCGCTCTTAACAAACAAACAAGAAGTTTCTCTTCTGCTTCTTTTGTATCTTCTTCATTTGCTGTTTTCTCTCCCTCTTTTTTCCACTGCAGGTGATATGCTGGACCTGTTGAAGTGGAGAGCGCACCCCGAAAGGATCAACGACAGCCTCTCTAAACTGAAGGAGATCGATGGCTCGGAGATTGTCAAAGTACGCTCACAGATCATCAGATTCTCGGGCCCCTGAGTTCTCCCGACGTAGTATTGATTGTTTTTGATTGGATTTGAGTCCACGCGGTTTCAGCAAGTTGTGGATGTTGGAAAACTGAAAAGTAAAGTTAATATAAAGCACCAGCTCTGTGCCACTTTGTACAAACTCCTTTTCTCCTGCTCCCATCACCAGTTTCTTCAGGACACCCTGGACACTCTCTTCGGCATCCTGGATGAAAGTTCTCAGAGATACGGGCTGAAGGTGTTTGACTCACTGGTGAGTAAGTCGTTCTCATGGTCCGCTCATTTCCTTGGACGTTCTTAAGATTTTCTGTGTCCAGTTTTTCCTGCGTGTTGAGCACAATCTCATCGCATTTGTGTCAAACACAGAAAAACAGACACAAACCGTTGGTGAAAGATCTCGTGATGTAACGCTCCAGAGCCCGCTGAACCAATCTCACCCCGGTCATGCTGCACTGCACTGATAGAACGAAGTCGGGAATCGATATCTCACTCTCCCTCTGTCTCTCTCTCTCTCTCTCTACCTCTCTTTTCTCTCCGTCTCTCTCTTCATCAGTCTCTCACACTGACACACGTACACTCTCTCCTCGCAGCGCAGCATTATAAATGATGAAAAGGTCCAGTGAGCCGGTGCAGTTATCAACTGTCCTTTTTGTGGTTCCTGAGATCAATCCAACAAGTCTGACAAGTGAACTTTCCAAAGGGTTGTAGCTCGCTTGTCATTATTGATTTAGTTGTAGTTTTCGCTTCGATTTTAATTTGTTTTGTATATTCAAAAATACTTTTTTATTCTCATTTTTAATCTTACGTCTTCTCCTAATCTTTTTTTACCCTATCTTTTCAAGTTGAAAATTCATAAATCGACTGTCTTCAGCGGTTTAATCACCCCCCAAAGTCCTCAAAGAACCAAATGTGTTTGGGAAATATGTGTAAATTGATAAACAAGATGTGCATCTGATGAAAGGGTGTAGTCATGAAAATATTTTTTCAGTTATTACTTGGAATATTTCACTCAGGAAAGAATACATAACATTTAGGGGTGAATCCATATCGGGGGTGGGGGGTTCCCCATAATATCTGTTCTGTGTACTGTTCTATGTAAAGGAATCCTGTTTTATAATGAATTCTCTTATGTCTAGGTCCATATCATCAACCTTCTCCAGGACAGCAAATTCCAGCACTTCAAACCAGTCATGGACACCTACATCGAGAGCCACTTTGCTGGAGCTTTGTCCTACAGGTTAGTGACGATGATATTTCAGCCTTCGTGTCTGTAAATGTGGATGTTTTAGGACGACAGCTCGAGCCTGCAGTACTGTAGTATAATGAAGTGTCACACTACAGGCAGTCGTAGAGGTCAACCTACATCAGAGCCGAGAGGCTGCTCCACTCAGCTCGGAGCTTTGATTTGATGTGTGAATAAAATGGTTATGGTGCCCCCTGGCTGAGGAAAAGTGAATTATTAAATCACGCTGACTTCTCTCCTCCCATCTGTCACAGGCGAAGACACTGTGCTATCGCTGTCTTCATGTTTCTTTCACACAATGCTCACAGGCTGCTGCTGCTGCCACATCCATCTGCTTTAAACTCTTCTACCTGTGATTTTGTTTCATTAGAAGTGTCACACATTAATTGGAACCATCTAATATTAATAGAGAAGCATGAATCAGAAAATCCCCTTTTCTGTCACCAGTTTCCTGCTGGATGAAAATAAGGTCAGGCTTCGAGAATCCGATATCTAATATTCTTTCCAAAATG